TGTGGGGCTGGAGGCAGCCGCTTGGGAACAGAGCTCCCACTGTGCTCTTTTTTCTGTGTGAGAATAAAAACTCCCGACTTAATGGGAGTCAAATTTTAATTTCTAATCTGAGCTTGCTCTCTCGTCGTATATCTGCACCCGGACGCAGGTGAAGATGTTGTTACTTGGTTGTGAAGCGCAGCAGTGAGGGAGGAGGCCTCCGCTGTAGGCAAGGAAGCGATGTGTGCTTCGGTAATAAGGCCATATGCCGTTTTCACGGGGTTTAAAAAAGTCATAAAGAACAAAATTCTGTGGGTTTCGACTTGGTAGATTTCAAATATTTTGCTAACTTTGAGTTAATTATCTTCCTTCTTCTTAGACGAGGCCTGCATAAGCGTACGTTAGCAAATGAAGCAAGTAGGCTTAAAATGTGTTATCAATTGTACTAACGTGATGGAAAAGTACATTTACAATTGGTACTGACTTAGTTTGAGCCGGAATGTTTATGAAGTTCTTGAATAACACTGCTAGTACTTTTGTGCACTGTTCAGTGTTTGTGCACTGATAGATGTTGCACTAGTGTCTAGACACTGTGAAATTAAAGGTAATGACAATAATCCTTTTCTTTTTCTAAGTTCTCAGCATTCATGCGTAATGTAAGTAGGACAGAGGTTTTTATTGTGTTTGTGGATGAAGTTTCTTGAATCTTCAGTGATAGGGATTTTGGGGATGCTTTCTCTATGTCCTCCACTCGTGTGCACTGCTGTGTTTTATTTTCAGTTGTCTGTGCACTGGATGTTATTTGCAATATAGCACTTAGTTTAGTAGTCCAGTCTTTGAAGCTGGTGTGTCATTGTTAGACATCTATTTCAGTTTGGAAGTCTTCAGATAAAGATATATTGAGTTTCCCTCAATTATTGTATAAGAAATCAAGAAATAAAGAACTATACTGAACATTTATAACTCTACAAACGTAGACATTTGTAAAGTCACATACTTAAAGGGAATTTGTTTCTCTGTAATTCTCAGCATTTTTATTTTTGCCGCATTAGCTTTTCCCTTCGCCTCTTACTACTTCAGGTGGAAAAGGGAAAATCTCTTCCTTTATGCAGATATTTTCTTCTAAGAAAGGGGCATGTGGTAGTTGTGTCAAGCTGAGAACAATGATATGATTGTCAGGTAAGACTCAGTTGCTCAGAGGGTGCTTTGCTCACTGCTGTGTTGTTGTACGGAGTATTGTTGCGTATAACAGCTTGCTTTGTAGGCTCTTGCTTTGAGTGCAACACAGGAAGATAAGAATAAGAACACAGTAGCAAGACAGGACACACCAAAATACGTGATGAGTCTTGATTTGCGTTTTTGCTCTTTTAAAAATTTCCTTTAATGGATGAAAGATGGGGGGTTTGTAAGCTCTCTCATAGCAGACTGTTATTTTAGGTAGTGGAAAAGCCATTAAACAAGACCAGTGTTAGCACATCTAGTGCTCTTGTGGTATATATCAGTTTTATGGCTGTGATTTGCACAGTACTCAGAGCCATTGTAAGTGATGTTTTGTTCAGAGTTTACTGGCTTAATCATTTAGTGAGATCCGTGAATTTTAAAGCAGTCAGAAGGTTCCTGGATGCCCAGAGTGAATGCTGTGTACAGCAAAGGTACAATCTGTTCTCTTGCATAGGTAGCGTCACAAGTAAGTAATGAGTTCTCAGTTACCTCTTTCGAGCTTCCTTGCTTTACTAGACCAAAGAATCTGAAATCTCCTGATTTTTATTCCCTCTCTGCCTTCCTGCCAAATGATTGTTTACTTGTTTTCTGCATTGTAAACAGGCCCGTATTTCCAGTGGATGATAAAGACCATGACCTTGATATGGGACTGGAGAGGTCTGTGAGTGACAAAAGTAAGGCTCAATTGCGTAGATTGTTCAGAAAGTGGCATCCAAACTAACAGTTAAAAGACAAAGTAAATTTGAATGATCTTGAGCAGTAGTTCACAGAAGAATAGGTAGGCAAGGCCACCTTGGCAGGCAGTAATATTACACAGAATATCAGTAAAAACTTCTGGTGGGTGCGCAGCGTTTATTCTGGAAGGAGAAGCAGAAATTCACGTTCTGTTTTGCGGTGACATGGTGTCGTCGTGTGCCCGCTGAACAGATTTCCAGAGCAGGGTTAATGTTACCATTAAGATTTGAGGAAATGACAGAAGTATAGGTTTGGATGTAGTTGTTTAAATGTCTGCAGCGATCTTCATCTTTAGCCAAGCATTCCACTCCAGTCCTGCAGTTTTAGGAGTTTAACTGCCCGGATCAAACCTCTCTACAGTAAGTCTGTGTGGCTATGGTAAACATAATGGTGTGAACCAGATTGCAGAAACAAAGCATTAAAGGTCTGTTCACAACACAGTTTGTCAGCTAGTTCTAAAAAGTTTCTTTCACAGATGCTCTCTAGAGAAGAAATAACCGTAACAATTGCTGAGATTACTGAAATATGGAAATGAGTTCTGTTTCTGATGCTATTACTTGTCTTCAGGTTTCTTCTAGCTTAGCTTTGTTTTGATACAGCTTTTTGCCAAGTATGTTTGATATTCTTTATTTTACTTCTTCACAGGAAGTGAATGTTGAATTTGAAGCACATTCCATATCAGACAATGACTATAATGGGATCAAGAAATTATTACAACAGGTACTTTGGGTTCTTGTTAGCTTGGTTGATATGTCCACTGATTGCATATCTCTTCAGATATTATTTATCAAAATCATCAGTTTGCATTATATGTATTGATTCATAGTTTTACTCTGCTCCAGCTGATGAAGATTAAATAATTACAGCCACAGTGAACATGTGTCTCCTAAACCATGGTTTCAGGAACTTCACCCAATGAACTGTGGGGCTGCTCTTCCACAGTGTGTGGAATCTTTCCGTCTTCATTGTGTTAGCTGCTGCCTAGAAAACCTCGTTCAATGTTAATCAGCTTCCTGGAGGGTTTTCTTCATAAATTACAAGCCTTAAAAATCAGAGAAACAGATAATGTGCCTGTTCAGTGTGACAGCTTTCAGTCTTCTTTTGGCTGATTCTGTTGTAAACTGATGCTCAGCAAGCATTCAGATCGTACCAATTTTAGAATGGTACCAGGTATGCAAAATGCCAGCTTGGGGACAGTTGAGGAGCAAGTATGTCAAGAAGCTGATTTTTAGATTTGGTGTTATACTGAGGAAAATTACATAAACTCACTAAATGGAAATTAAAAATGGAACAGAGTATTGTGTAACAACTTAGAGAAATCACTGACTTTATTTTGTACTAAGTGGCCCATGTTGTTATTATCAGGCCTAAACTTTCTTAATACTTGTTTCTTATTTTCCAGTTGTTTCTAAAAGCTCCTGTTAACACTGCTGAATTAACTGATATATTAATACAACAGAACCATATTGGAAGTGTTATCAAGGTAAGACAGATTTTACATTCATAAGTTAGGTACATTACTTTTTATGTTTAGATGACAGAACAGACTTTCAGAGGAGGATCCTGTCTTTGTAATTTGTACGCATTCTTGCTGCTTTGAGAATAATTCTTCTATGGGAGCTAAAATTTTCCATGCCTGCTTTCAACCAAACAAGGAATTTGACTTGTTACTTTGGTTGCTTTTTATGCGTGAAAGGCTTTTTGCTTTTCTTTCTGAATTTTGTCATCACAGACTAATAACGCTAAAAATGCTGTGGAGAAATTTGTTACCATCTTCATAAGAAAAAGGACCTTGTGATTTCCCTACGTTCTCTGGATGCATGTAGATAGAGACCAAAAATACCCTCCATGCAATTTCCTTTTGTGCAGCGTTCTTTGGGCATAGGAAAGGATCCCAAAATGAGTCCTGAGTTCTGCTGTGGCAGGGGAGCGCTCTGCAGAGGCCTCTGAGCTACTCGTGGGGAAGGAAGCTGTTCAGTCTGGTGCTCACTGTGTCATGGCCATGTTACTTTCAGACCCAAACAAGCTGCACACCATGACATGGTTGCGTGGTGCCATTGCTATACATTCCCTTTTTGTCCTGTGCCAACAATTTTTCCACCCAAGTTTAACAAGATCCTTACGTTACAACTGCATGACCCCCAGGTTTTCCGCTGAGTTTCGTTGAGCTTTTTGTTTGTTCCACTCTCTAGCAAAGCTCTGTTGCTCTGTGCTTTTTAAGACTTTGCAAGTTTATTTCCGTACATTAGAAACTGAAGAAAATTGGTTTTACTTAAGATACTGTTGCCCCTTGTACCTAGATGCTGCTTATTATATGTGAGCTATGAAATTTTAGTGCCTTTGGAGAGATCCTGCTGTAGAAGATAGATGACCTGGTGTGCTCTGTAGCTGGCTCTGAGTACACAGAGATATTCAGTGATGTGGTGCTTTTATAACTGTAACCAGCATCTGTAGGTTGTGTGTTCATACAGATTACCTAGATGGTTGTCATCTGCTGAGCATCTTCTGTAAAAAAACCCACATTTCTTGCTGCGGCGAGTGGAAGTAGAATGTCTGTGTGAATTGTTGCTTTTTCTTTCATTACATAGCAAGCAGAAGTCCAAGAAGACAGTAGTGACGATGACGATAATGATGATGATGATGAAGTCTTTGGTTTTATAAGCTGCTTAAACTTAATGGAAAGGAAGGTTGGTATTCCTGGTTAACATCTGGACAGTAATGAGTGAGACTGTGTTTTGTTTTTCTGCCTTGTATAAGAAGCCTAGACAGCTGGATCAGGATTTTGAATTCCACTGTGAGGACTTGAAAGTTGCACAGCACTTAACTTTCTTTTGGGTCTAGTCCTGAGTAACTCACTGAAGGTCAAACATAACGAGTGGAACAGCGACTTAAAACTAGGTCTAATAAGTAGTTCAAAGGTAGCTGATCTGTCAGCTTCTTGTATTTCTTCACTTTTGCCTCTCACAGTTTTTGGGTTTTGCTGTTGGGCGCACTGGTGTTGCAGCTGCTAGCTGCGCTCCTGTCAGTTAAGAACCTTTGTTTGCCCTCAACTTCAGGGTCGATAAATAATTTTGGGAAAATTGTACAGTGCTTTAGAGGCTGCTTAAGGAAATTGCCACCAGGCCTGCAGAAGTTCGCATTCAAGGTTTTATTATGTAAGTAATTGTTTCGTAATGTAAAGAAAATACATCTTATGATTCCAGGGGACACAGTGTGCTGAGCAAATCAAAGAGCTGGTTCTCAGTCGGTGTGAGAAGAGCTGTGAACAGCATGCAGTTGAACAACTGGATAAGCTCCTAAATGACACTACTAAGCCTGTGGGTCTTATACTGAGTGAAAGATTCATTAATGTACCCCCGCAGATTGCTCTGCCCATGCACCAGCAGCTCCAGTAAGTTTGTTTGGGTTTAGGGGTTTTTTTGACATGATATTGAATAGTACTTGATATTTTTTTCTGAAATCTTATGTATATGTTATCAGAGGTGATACTATAGATATAAGTAAGACATGGACATAGAGGAATATGTTAATCTCATATAAAGTCTTCAGTTAATTTTTTAATATTTTTATATCTTAAGGGTTTTCAAACTCTTTAGGCTAGAGGAAAAAAAATTAGGAATATGTGCTGTGCTGATGCAGAAAGAACTATGTATATTGTAGTTTGTACTGCAGTTTATTTTCGTATTGATCTAGAAAATTAAAAACGAGAGCTTTGGCACGTATCAGCATGCTGATAATGCGCAACTGGGATGTTTCTGCTCAGGTGTTAATGTCTGGCTCTGGGATGGAAGATTTGGATTGAGGGGCAGGCTTACAAGGTAGATGAGTTCTGGCCCCTGAGATGCATATGCAGTGTTTTGATTAGTTTCAAGTAAATGAGTAAAGCAGGTTAGATGCTGGTTGATCTCTAATAGTTTGTGGATTTGTATCATGGGCTGGGTGACAGTAAGTAAATGAATCCACTGAGGTGCAGCATGTTAAAGTTTTAGTGCTGTGTTGAGAACCAGGAAATTATGTTGGATGAGGAACTGCAGTAATGGAACAAAGATTTTTTTTTTTTTCTTCTTTTGTTTCTTTTTCTTTCTTTTCTCTCATGTGAGGTGAGTTTAGAAGTCAGATGGAGTTGACTGCAGTCATGGCTTGTTTAAACAAGAAAATAGACCTTTAAGGAATTACTACTTTGGTGTGAAAGAAAATATGTAGATAGAGTTGGTCAGGAAGGTTTTTAGAGAATAAAGCTTAGCTTTGAGGTTTGTCAATAGTAGAACATTTGTGACGACTGAAATTCAAATCTTGGCTTGTTTGTCTTTAAGGTTTTGGAGTGTTGCAGTGATAGCATGTTTTAGTACAAGGATGGGCAAGAGTATTTTCTGGCTCTTCAGTTATTTTTCCTCATGAAAATGATAGTGTGATGTATTTTCAGGAGCATTAAGTTTGGAATCATTTCACAGACTCTCTACCATGAATAAGATTGTGTGCAAAAAGGATTATGGTGTGTGGTGTGGAAAGACATCCTTATTTTTATTGTTTTAAAATACAAATAGTATGTTTAAATATTGGGAATGTGTATGCAAAATTTATTTCCTGATATTTACTCTATTTCGGAAAAGAATAGGCTGTAATATGAGTAGCCTTTCTGTATTAATACATTATGAAGTTTACTTATACACTTGTTGAGGCATTAAATTGTGTATATAAATGTATTTTTAAATTGTATGTGTAAATGTTTATCTTTAGGAAAGAGTTGACTGAGGCACAGAGAACAAACAAACCTTGTGGAAAGTGCCACTACTACCTTCTCATCAGCAAGACCTTTACAGAAGCCGCAAAGAGCAATTCTAAGAGGGGAGAAGGGAAGAATCAGCAAAAGGAGGAATTAATGTTTGCAAATGCAGAGGAAGAATTCTTTTATGAGGTAACATTAGTGATTCTCCTAATTTAAAATGTTTATTTTTCTTCACGTATCAGCACAAAAGGTGTTTCACCTTAAATTCAAGGGAGGCTTTTAAATAGATACAGTCACATATCTTTTCAGTTAAATACAGCTTTTTTTAGGGTGGTGTTGAGACATGAGCAAGCAACCTATTTTTGCAAGTTGAACACGGCACCTTCTGCGTTTAGCAAATCACGGAGACGTGTGCCATCCGTAAATCTAAATTCTTAAATTAAACCTCTGTATTGGTGTAGATTTAGTAACACATTATCTGTATCAGGTCACAGCTAACTTGACTGTAAGAGGGTATGGTGGAGGCTGCCCATGGCAGTGTTACTACCTAATAAGGTCTCAAGTGCTATGAGGATAATGGAAAATTAAAAGATACCTGAAATAAGCAGAGACTTTAGAGGAGAGATCAGATGTTACTTTGTCGCGAGGCCTCACAGGATTAACAGACTTCATCCCTCTACTCATACTTCCGCAACGCTGAAGAGATTGAACTGAATATGATAATTGTCAGACTTGTTGAAACACTCTGAATGGAATATCCAGGATTTTAGGACGAACAAACAGTAGTAAATCTGGATACTGCACTTAACAGCTTGTCCCAGGCCACCTGAGTTTACAGAAGTTTGAAATTCCTTTTGTTTGGGGAGTGATGCGATTGTCTTCTTTGATCTGAATTGTAAGAGATGTGAAAGACTTGTTGAATTGCCGTGTCAGCTGAACAGAAAATACTGTTCACACAGTGGGTGTGTGAAATGTGGGAAGTGCAGGTTAGCTCGAGTATCTGTCAGTAAGATTCAAGTTAACATGATCTGCATCACCAGGGTTCAAGAGTGGCAGCTCAGACAACAGGCAGAAACTTGCATGGGTGCTCGAACTTAATCATATGTCACCACGTTAACCAATCATAAATAAAGATTCAAAAAAAACAACGGGGAGGAATCTCTATTGTTAGAGTCTCAGTAATGCGTATTAATACTTAAATACACAGATTTCTTCTCCTTGCCCCTACATAGTCCTGTGTCAGGAAAAAATAATGGCTATTTGAGCTTTATGTAGATTTGGTAATGCAGTTCAATGCATTTCTCTGAGATCTCTTCCCAAGAAACCTCACAGGTGCAAAGGTCTGTAGTTGTGGTGTGGGTGTTATTGTGTGAAAAGCTGATTGATCTATTTCCTTTTGGATACTTGTTACTTTAAAAAACAAACAAACTCAGATTAAAAAAGTTACGAAGATTCAAACAAGTAGCTATGACTTCGCTTTTCTGTCTCTATCCCACTCAGGACAAGTATATTAATAAAAAGTGCTAAAACACTGAGATGAAAATAATACTTCCCATTTCCTAAAGCAACCTGTCTGCACAATTCTGCTGATCTCAACTCAAATCAGGGGAGGTGCATAAAATGAAATTAAAAATGTACTTTGAAGCGCAAAGAAGTTTTAATTGTTTGGGTTTTTCTGGTTTTGGTTTTTTTCCGCAAAGCTTTGAAAATATTCTACAATATTACTGCTTTGTCAGGAGGCTGTTATTTTTCATTTCTGGCAGTGCCTATGGGATAAAGTCCTTACACATGCATCGTATGAGTAATGACAGAGGTTCCTGTGTGTAATCGTTCATGACAGTCTCTGTTAGAGGTTATGGTATGGCTGGAAATCTATTTCTTGGGAAGAAGAAAAATGGAAGTGGGTGAATTCATTGTTAGCCATAGGGAATACTGTTGTAGCCTTGGTGCAGTAGCTGTTGGGGTTTTTCTTTCTGTGTTCCTGCCACAGCAGCTTTACCAGCTGAGCTTGAACTCTTTGTAAAGGTGTTATTGAAAAACCGAAGGGGGGAAGCCTGTGCTGCCCAGGTGCCCGTGGATGTTATGTTCTAGAAGGCCTGTTTTGTATTTATGTTTTGTTATTTTTGAGTGGCATTTTAAAGACTAATTGTGTGCATTTGTCTAAATTGCAATAATTTTCAACTCAAGTGGATAGACTCAGACTGAACAAGCTTTTCTTTTTAACAGTCTTTCTGATGTTTTTACCAAATTCATTTTAAACATTGTGGAGGATATTAGATTAAGTAGGTCTCTGTACTTAATAATGTATATGTGTTAAATTAGTTTTGGAGTGTGTAACCTCCCTGTTCACACATAATGTTAATTAGATTGCCATAAAATAGTATTAAATGCGGTGAGGCAGACACTTAAGAGCCATATAAAACAGAGAGAAGCCTTTTTGCACTTGTCAGTTCCCTGTGCTTTATTCAGTTCCTTAAAATATTACTGAAGGAGCAGAAGAAAAGCTCTGTTGTAACCAGACTTGAAATTGATTCCAGGTTTAAGGTCTCAGTTGCTCAAATTATTTGTTCTTGAGCGACACCACTCCATTAATGTGATGGTTCTTCCAGATTAAAATGTAAAGCCTTGAGGGTGGACGAGCCGATCAGGGGAGGAGCGCTGCTCCTAGGGGCCCAAGAGAGTTGGTTAATATTCAAGGACCACTTCTTCCCAAGCTCAAGGTCAGTGTATCCCAACGGGTGGGAAGTGAAGAAAGAGCCAGGAGACCTGCATGGTTAACCAGCGATCTGCTAAGCAAACTCAAGTGGAAGAGAGTGTGTAGATCATGGAAGGAGGGGCTGGGTGCTGGAGAGGAATGTCAGACTGTAGTCAGGATGTAGGGAGGCAACTAGGAAAGCTAAGGCCTCCTTGCAATTAAACCTTGCGAAGGAGATCAAGGACAACAGAAAGGGCTCCTTCGAATATATGGCAAATAAAACTAACAGTAGAGGCAGTGCAGGGCCACTGCTGAACGAGGTGTGAGCCCTGGTGGCAGAGGATGCAGAGGAGGCAGAGTTATTGAATGCCTTCTTTGCCTATACTGCTGGAGACTGTCCTTGGGAGCCCCAGAGCCCTGAGGCCTCAAAGCAAGTCAGGATAAAGGAGGAGTTTGCCTTGGTTAGAGATCAGTCAGGCAAACTGAACATCCACAAATCCATGGGCCCTGATGGGATGCACCCACGGGTGCTGAGGGAGCTGGCAGGAGTCATTGCTTTGGTAAGTCGTGGGCAACAGGTGAGGTGCCTGAAGGCTGGAGGAAAGCGAATGTCACCCCAGTCTATCAGAAGGGCAGGAAGGATGACCTGGGTAACTACAGACCGGCCAGCCTCACCTCCATCCCTGGAAAGGTGATGGAACAACTTATCCTTGGTGCTGTCCCTGGGCATATCAAGGGTCATTAGAAGCAGCCAGAATGGTTTTGCCAAGGGGAACTCATGTTTGACCAACC